CACTCAAAGATGACAATAAATGGGAAATGGGTCTCCCAAGTGGGCACAGTGTTCAGTGTGTGTCTGTGGCAGGGGGTGGGAACTGGAGATTACTCAATGAGAACTGCACTGGGCTGGATATTTGGTTATTTGTGAAGACTTCAGACAACAAACTAAGCTAGGCTGCTATAAACCACAGGGGAGTCAAGCTTGGTTCTCAACTCAGAGTAATCCAGTCCCCCCTCCATCAAGGCCAATGACTCTGACAAAGGAAACATGGGTAAGGAAACCTGAAGGTGAGAAACCAAGAAAAATAACACCTGCCCCTACCACCACCCCCACCACCAAAGCTCCAAGGAACAATGTGGGAACCACATGCAGGCAGTCTTTGCAGCACTGGAGGGAATGTCTAGCTCGTACTTTATAATTTAGATTAAATCTACTTTAATACTCAGAGTCATTCTGTCCTCCTAGGCCTCTGAGTCTGTGATGGGAGGGGCTGCCACAAAGGTCTCTGAAATGCCTTCAAGACCTTTTCCCCATTTTCTTGGCTATTAGCACTTGGCTTCTTTTTACTTATGCAAATTTCTGCAGCCTGCTTGAATTCCTCCCCTGAAAATGGGCTCTTCTTTTCTACCACATAGGGGGCTGCAAATTCTTCAAACATTTATGCTCTGCTTCCCCTGTAAATGTAAGTTCCAACTTAATGTCTTTTCTTTGCTCACACATATGAGCATAGGTTGTTGGAAGCAGCCAGGGCACATCTTGAATGCTTTGCTGCTTCAAAATTTTTTCTGCCAGATACCCTAAAATCATCACGCTCAAGCTCAAAGTTCCACAGGTCCCCAGGCCAGGGGCACAATGCAGTCAAGTTCTTTGCTAAAGTATAACAAAAGTGACCCTTGCTCCAGTTCTTAATAAGCTCCTCATTTCCATCACCTCCTCAGCCTGGCCTTCACTGTCCATATCACTACTGGCATTTTGGTCATAACTATACAACCAGACTCTAGGAAATTCTAAACTTACCCTCATCTTCCTGTCTTCTTTGGAGCCCTCCACACTCTTCCAACCTCTGCCCATTACCCAGTTCCAAAGTCACTTCCACGTTTTCAGGCATCTTTATAGCAATGCCCCACTCCTCAGTACCAATTTTCTGTATTAGTCTGTTCTCACACTGCTAAAAGGAAACACCTGAAACTAGGCAATTGATAAAGAAAACAGGTTTACAAAAACTGCGTGTTCTCACTTATAAGTGGGAGCTAAATGATGAGAACAATGGACATATGGAGGGTAACAACACACACTTAGGCCTATTGGAGGGTGCAGGGTGGGAGGAGGGAGAGGATCAGGAAAAATAACTAATGGATACTAGACTTCATATCTGGGTGATGAAATAATCTGTGTAACAAACCCCATAACACATGTTTACCTATGTAACAAACTTGCACATCCTGCACATGTACCCCTGAACTTAAAGTTTTTTTAAAAGAGGTTCAATTGGCTCATGGTTCTGCAGGCTGTACGAGAAGTATAGTAGCTTCTGCTTCTGGAGAGCCCTCAGGAAGCTTCCACTCATGGCAAAAGGCAAAGGGGGAGCCAGGCATCTCCCATGGTGGGAGCAGGAGCAAGAGGGGTCAGGGAGATGCTGCACACTTAAACAACCAGATCTCATGAGAACTTACTATCATGAGAACAGCACCAAGAGAATGGTGCTAAACCATTCATGAAAAATCCGCTCCCATGATCCAATCACCTCCTACCAGCACTGGGGATTAATTTCAACAAGAAATTTGGTGGGGTGACAGATCCAAACCATATCACAGAATTTTAGATCTAAAAGAAATTTCAAGTACCACTTAGTCTCCAGCACCAGCACCATGACCACAGCCAGCTGTCCCAGCCACACAAGCCCAGCCCCATCATGCTCCCTCCTCCCCCTAGCCATGTTAGATTGTAACTGGACTCAGTCCAGGATAGGCTGTAGTTCAGAACCTCCAAGGAGGGGAACTCCACACAACCTCCATTCTGATGTTAACATCATCTATGACAACGACTTCTTTTAAATGCTGTGGTTTAAACTATTTTTTTTTTCTTTTTCCAATCTGCAAAAGATAGAGAATGGCTCTGATATGGTTTGGCTGTGCTCCACCCAAAATCTCATCTTGAATTTTAATCTGAATTACAATGCCCACATGTTGGAGGAGGGACCTCAAGGGAGGTGATTAGGTTGTGGGAGTGTTTTCCTTATGCTGTCCTCATGATAGTGAGTGAGTTCTCACGAGATCTAATGGTTTTATAAGGAGTTTTTCCCTCCTTGGCTCTGTACTTCTCTCTTCTGCCACCTTGTGCAGAAGGACGTGTTTGCTTCCCCTTCCACCATGATTGAAAGTTTCCTGAGGCCTCCCCAGTCATGCGGAATTGTGAGTCAATTAAACCTCTTTCCTTTATAAATTACCCAGTCTTGCGCAGTTCTTTATAGCAGCATGAGAATGGCCTCATACAGGCTCTTACCTTTAAATCCTTAAGTGTAGGGCTTTTTATGAGATAGACACCTACCAGGCATGCTGACTCAGACCTATAATCTCAGCACTTTGGGAGGCCAAGATGGAAGGATCACTTGAAGCCAGGAGTTTGAGCCCAGCCTGGTCAACATAGCGAGACCCCATCTCTATTATTTAAAAGAAAAGGAAAAAAAAAAGGTAGACACCAATTAGTAAAAGTGGTTATCTCTGGGACATAAGATAATGGAAGATTTTCTATTCTTTTACATTACTGCATTTTTAATCCATATGTATTATCTTTCCACATGTATTATTTATTTAAGAAGCATATTTTAAAAGTCCTTCATGGAGCATTATTTAGTTACCTCCTTCCCTCTTTCCTCCAGGCGACATCCTTCTAGTTTTATTCAAAGATTGACAACTCAGTTTTCTCTGTGGGTCAGATGAGTGACAAAGAAGTGAGATGCAGGAAGTGTAAGGATGTGCAGGTGACCAGGACCCTGGTAAACCGCAGGGAGCATGCCTGGCCAAGAGGCACACAAATCCCAAACTGGGCTACAGGCCACCAGGCTGCAAACCTCCCCCATGAGTGCTTTTCTCCATTCTATAATTCCTGGTTCTTCAAGCTTTCTAAATTAAGTGTATGGAGCCCCAAAAGAGAACACCTTCATTTTGGTGAGCCAGAGGCATGCCATTTCCTGTTGCATCAGTGGTAACTTTGGTCTTATGCCAAGCACTCACTAGCATGCAGCATTTGTACCGGCAAAAGACTGATCAATCTCCTAAGTCCTACGAGAGGCCACAGGAGAAGATTCCCCTCTTTTTGAGCAAAGATCCCAGGGAAACGGTGATTCACAGACCTCACTCAGCATTAACTCGGGTGCCATGGCAACAGGGCTCCACATCCGGAGCAGATGGTGCGGCAGACTGCCCCTGTCACGCGGTGCCTCTTCTGGAAGTTCTGGCCATCTCACCAAGCAGGCTTGCTTCTGTCCAGCTGGCACAGAGTAACACCTGGTAACTATTTACATGGGTCAAAATACACCCGGAGCCAGCAGATGGCAGAGCCAGGCTGAGACGTGGGGAGAGAGGAGGGCTGGTTTGGGCTGTCTCAGAGGCAGAGGCGGCAGACAGCTCCTTTGGGGGGCACAGACAAGGCAAAACATCGCTCCTGTTGCTGCCTGGTGTCTCCGCACAGCTAGGAGGATGGGAAAGCATCCAGCGTGAGCAAAGCTGAAACGATCACAGGCTGATCCTCAGACACTGAGATGAAACGGCACTGGACACACTTGGTCCCCCTCCCACAGTGAGGCAGTAGATGCTCCCAGCCCAAGGGACCTGTTGGCACCAGCCATCCTCAGCTCTTTGCTGTCTTCAGTGGGGTGGTACTGCCTGGCGAAGCTGGCAGATGGGCCCCATCACAGACAAGCATCCCCACACCAGACAAGCAGCTCCAAAGCACTAGGTTCAAAACCTCAACCAAGGTAAGTGAAGAGATGTGGGCTCCCAGGGACAGATCCAGTGTCTTTTTCAACTTTATCCCCAGTGTGCCCCTGGGCTTGGTACACAACAGGTAACCAGAGGCATTTGTTGAGAGGAATTGGAAGAGAGTGTGACGCAAATCCAATGGAATGACCTTTGCTTGTGGCTGGGTTTGGGGTGTGTGTATTTTTTTAAGGCAGGATGCTGGCTATAGAACATTTTGTGAGACATCCTGAGCCCTGACAGCACCAGTGAAATTCTGACGTAGTTAGTCCTGGGTGATAAATCGGTGTTTCATTTCCTGCTTTGGAATTCTTTCCAGTCACAAGACCCTCAGTGTCTCCAGGCCCATGGCCAAAGTTTGGAGAATTACACTCATGCTCGCCCACGTGGACAGCGGCATTCATTTGCCAAATGGAAGGTATTTGGGCTTGGAGTGTTTTCTTCTTCCTTCTCCCTCTTCTTAAGTTTCCACCAGGGAGGTCTTTGGAGGGTGCCAATCTGTAGTGACAAGCATCAATCATAGGTTGACCCTGAACCTCAGCAGCAGCATCTGCACCAATAATCTGGAGATCAAACGAGGCTGAAGGCCAAGGAGTTAGGAGGCACACAGGCTCCCAAAATGTGCTCTGACATTAGCACCAGGAACTTTCTAGAAAACAGAAGCTACAGACTAGGCAGGGCAGGTGGCTCATGCCTGTAATCTCAACACTTTGGAGACCAGGTTGGGTGGATGACCCGGAGTGACCAGGAGCTGGAGACCAGCCTGAGCAACATAGTGAGACTCTGTCTCAACAATATTTTTTAAAAAACATTAGCTGGGCATGGTGACGTGTACCTGTAGTCCTAGCTTCTCAGGAGGCTGAGGCGGGAGAATCAACTGAGCCCAGGAGTTCGAGGCTGCAGTGAGCCGTGACTGCCCCACTGCACTCCAGCCTAAGTAACAAAGCAAGATCTTGTCTCAAAAAATAAAAATAAAAAAGCAGCAGCAGCGGTAGCTGTGGGTTAGAGGAGTCAGATAAATGATTATTGGAAGAATACATTTCCTGTTAGCATTTTATTGGGAACTTCAAAGAAAAGAAAGTGAGACAGATTGATTCCCAAGACAATCCGTGATGTAAACTCCCAACAAGCTGGGGAATTCTGGACGGTGAAGGGGTGGACGGTGAGGCTCAGCACAGCCCAAAGTCAAAGGCATTAGGGTTGTTCTGAAAATAGAGATTCAAGAAGCCCTGGAAAATGCTCTTATCTGTGAGAAGAGCACAGACTGTGGGGTCCCACTTCATGGCTGATATCCAGAGCCGCAGGGCTGGCGTGTGGCTCACACAGCTGCAAGACAGGAAAAAAGCGTCAGCACAGCACAGGGGGAGGCATCAGGAAAGGGGATGCACATTGCTTTTTAGATTTGCAAGATATGAAAAATGGGTTTATTTGGGGAATTATCTCAGTTATCTTACTATCAAGTGAGAATGATAACTTACTGGAGGAAAATCTTATTTTTGGAAAAGTCAAATGTGTAGAAGTTGTTGTTGCTTCTAATAATACAGTGAAATACTTTGGACTGATGGCTCTGGGAAAATAACATGTCTGTGCGTCATTGGGTTTTTTGTTTTTTAATATATATATTTTTTTAAAGCTTGAGAAACTTACATGTGCTTCACTGTTTGCCAACAAAAAGACAACCCTCTGAAACAAACATTATTGGGTCATTCTCAGATTTTACTTTAGAGGATAGAAAAAAATAAAGACAAATAATTTCCAAAACATGCTTAAAATGAATAAAATAATAATGAAACCTTGAAATCATGGAGTTGACAGGGCTCTTTCAAGGATCCACCAGGACATTCAGTTCTGGGGTTTATAAAGCGACAAGCTGAAGATAATACGAGTGGGTTGTGGGAAATCCAGGACTAGAAGTGAGGTTTCCTAACCTGTGATTCCATGCTCTGTCTTCAGAGGATACCGCCTTTTGTAAATTTTATGTTTGAGACTGAGTTTTAAATATCCTGATATGTCGTATCTAAGCTCCTTCAAAGAGAGCTGAAGTCGGAAGTGCAGGAGACAGTGCCTGGGTGGGCTCCAGCCCACGGGTTATGAAGGTGCAAACACAGTTCTGCTTCAGCAGGGCCGGATTTCCAAGTGCCAGAAATGTCCAGCACCCACCATGAGAGTGGTTTGGATTAGGGTGGGCGTCTGCACATGTCCAGCTTCTCCGAGCTTTGAAGTAACAGAGCACTCACTGTTCTGCCCAGGAGCCTACACAGCTATTTCTTCACCTTTAACGTCCCTGCACTTCCATACTTCCATAGTGTTGATTGCCATTTTGTTTGTATGTTCCAACACCAAGCATATATTACTACACAGATCTTTTTTATAAGGTTATTACTATCTGGGGGAAGATTCGTCCGGCAATGAGACGTGACTAAGGTATATGGTGTCCACTGGGGACCCGGCAGGACTAGGTGGAAGCATTGGGCACTGTGACTGTGACTCTCCACCAGCTCTCAGACCGGCCATGTGGGGGCGCTGGTGAGGACAGCAGGTTCTGAAGTCTGTGGGAGGCTCCTGGACTAGGGGTCTTATCTGCAGAAATGCGGGCAAAGTGTGAGTCTGAGTTAGCAGTGGAAAAGCACATGTGTTTTTAACAAGGAAACACACACTGGGGTTTAGAAACCTGATTCGCTTCACAGACATTCTGAAACATGTCTACAGGGGGCACGCAGACCATCTTAAGCAGTGTTACTCAGTGTGACTCCGGGAATTTACCAACACAAGGTCAAATGTCTTACTCCGCTATCCCATACACATCCAGCCGCTCAAACCAGGGCCAGAGGAGGTAATCAATCATGGATGTACAGGTTCCACCAAAGAAGGTGGTGTTCTGATACTCAAGAATCTAAAAATGGAAACAAAACAAAAGCAAATAAGTTTATATATCTCCTGACATGTTTATAGACACTAAATGCAAATCTCAAATTAATTCCCAGAGAGGGAGAACTGAGGCCTCTATCCTTCTCCCTATTCTGCTAACCAGAATTGCTTGAACCTGCAAGGCGGAGGTTGTGGTGAACCAAGATCGTGCCATTGCCCTCCAGCCTGGGCAACAAGAGCAAAAAAAAGAAAAAGGAAAAAAGAAAAAAAGAAAGAGGATGCTGTAATCTCCATGCCTTATTATTTTATCTTCTCAATTAATTCAAAACTAAGGCAGGAAAGAGCATCCTGTTTAATAGGCCCTCTTAAATTCTAACCTTGTGTTCTTCTTCTTCTTCTTCTTTTTTTTTTTTTTTTTTTTGAGATAGGGTCTGGGTCTGTCACCTAGGCTGGAGTCCAGTAGATCAATCACAGCTCACTTCAGCCTCAACCTCCCCCGGGCTCAAGCAATCCTCCCACCTCAGCCTCCCAAGTAGCTGGGATTACAAGTGCAGGCCATCATACCTGGATGATTTTTATATTTTTTTTTTTGTAGAGATGGGGTCTTGGGGTCTTGCCATGTTGTGCAGGGGTCTCAAACTCCTGAGCTCAAGGGATCCTTCTGTCTTGGCCTCCCAAAGTGCTGGAAATACAGGTGTGAGCCACCGCACCTGGCCCCCAACGCTGTGTTTCTATCACACTTTTTTTTCATTTGAGCTTTTCAAACTTCACATTTGTTGGCCACTCAACACTATTACTTAATGCATTAAAATAAAATTTCTCATTCCCAAATGAGACTAAACCCAGGTAGAGGGACTGTAAAGAAAACAAACTCACAACAGACAGGTAGCCAAAGATGGCCCCAAAAAAGTACCTGCAAGTTTAAAAAAGCAAAAGTGTTTAGCAGAGGTGACTGTTGGTACAGGTCTTCCCAGAGAGAAAAGTATGGCACGAATTACCTGGTTAAATCAAGCAAGCTACTCATTTTGACCTATATACTTCATAATCAACTCGATACTTCCCTAGAGCTACAGATCTTGATTGCTGGGCCCAGGTGAGTTGTGGAAATAAGCTATACTCTTGCTTTCATCTGGAAATATCAGGGTTCTGGTGAGGGACAGAGGGCAAAAGGACCAGAATCAAGCTGTGGATTAGGGTCCCGGGGCAGGGATAGCACAGTTCCCCGCCCAGCAAATGCACATACACATTTCCCTCACATTTTCCAAATGTATCTTGAAACCATCCACATCAAAACTACTGGCATTTCCTAATACAGCTGCAGATTATTGAGCCCCATCCCAGACAGGTATTTCCCCACCAATTTCAAGCAGGGCAAGCCTGAAATCCCAACAGAAAAGCTATCTTTGCCTAAACTAGCACAAAGTGCTCGCTCCTTTACAGACGGAGGAGAACATCCTGGACAGGCCTCCTGGGAGGTTTGCTGAAGTCTTCAGGACTCTCGATAGGAGAGTTTCCTTCTGTGCAAACCTGGAACCTTCCAGACACTAAAATTACGTTTTCCCCTTAAGAATCCTAGAAAATTGGGACTGGAAGGGCCCCTGAAACTCATCTAAGTGTGAGCTCCTCATTTCGCCATTTATTTCTACCATGATCATTACACAAAGGATTAGAAGTGTAGTGTAAAAATGTGCACTACATACTAAATATGAAAAATAATAAAATGCTATAATTGGGGAAAATGAAAGCTGGAACAGAAGGTAAAAAACCAGGAAGGAAAACAGTATCAAGATATCATGTCCTGGGTCCTGCAGAGTTCCTTCAATAAAGCCTTGAATTTGACTCTTGAGTTTACTGGCAGCCAAAGGGGAGAGGAAAACATGCCAGTGATGTGATTCTTGTCTCCCACGGGGAAGCACAGGGGAGCCTTGCTATGCAGAGGAGGAAACCCAGTTCCAAGGAGGTTAAGGGGCTCTCTGGATCACACCAGAACTAACATGCAAATCGTATTTTCCTAATTCCCAGACTAGTGTCAACCTTATGTCATTCAATTTCAAATATGTATTTTTAGACTCTAATGAAAAGCTTCCTCAAATTGCTTGAGCCAAGGAGTTTGAGACCAGCCTGAGAAACATGGTGAAACTCTGTCTCTACAAACAATACGAAAATTAGCTGGACATGGTGGTGACACCTGTAGTCCTAGCTACTAAGGAGGCTGAGGTGGGAGGATCGCTTGAGGCTGGGAGGTCAAGGCTGCAGTAAGCTGTGAGCACGCCACTGCACTCCAGAGCAAGGCCTTGTCTACAAAAAAAAAAAAAAAAAAAAAAAACTGGCCAGGTGCAGTGACTCACGCCTGTAATCACAGCAATTTGGGAGGCCAAAGCAGGCAGATCACTTGAGC